TGTATCAGTGAATGAACAGCTATGAACAGTAGAAAATGTTCTGTGCCTGTTTCAGGGAGCAGGATGTCCAAAGACCAGCTCAGCTTCCCGGACCTGCTGCTGTCACTGGACGGCTCAGAGCTGCAGGAGGTGGAGCGGGTCAGAGCCGCCATCAACCAGCAGCTGAGTACGGGTGGGTCCATCTGTCTGTCTGATGTCTCTCTGTCCCTGTGTCCTCGGTCTGACCTGCAGTTCTGCCCTCAGACAGAGGAGGCTCTATGTTGTCCTCTCTGGTGGAGCATTACCTGGACTCCTCCTCCTCCCAGGCGGCGCTGCTGCTCTCCTCCATCAGGGAGCCTCATCACAAGGTGAGCGCCACCGCCTGGCACTTCCCAATCCGTCCATCAGCTCATCATCAACCAGATATACATCCACCGCGCCCTCCATTTTATTTTGTAAAAAAGACCTAAGTTATGTTTTACCCCCCTTAATGATTAAGTGTTCTAAACTATAATATGTTTTAAAGGTTAATAATGTATTCTTAGAAAATAAAAGCATTTAAATCCTTTCAGTTTTAGTCCTCTGAAATGGGATGCTACGCTACTTCCAGGAGCTAACTTTATCAGCTTTGGATTTAAACATAAATCTAGTCTTTTTGAGTTTAATGTTTTCCTTTCATGTTAACATTATGCTATATCGTGCATAATCTAAGGTAAGAAACAACTAAAATGCAGATAAACATAATTTAGTTAGATTTACTGCTCTGAGGATGACCCATGATGACGTCAGAGAAGCTGTTTGCATCAAGTTGTATCAGAAAAGTCATAAAACATGTTTTAGAGATGTGTATTAGCGGTCTTTAGTGATTTAAGGGTAGAAATAAGTACTTTTAGAACTATCATGACCTCATTAACGGGACCTGGATGATTATCTGGTTGCACATGAGCTGATGGTATGGATCAGGTAGTGACTCCGCCTCTTCATGCTGCTGTGACCTTATAAGGAAGTTGGTTCCGCCCACCAGGTTCTCCTGGAGAAGCTGAACGAGGCTCTAAACCGACCTGGGAACAGAGTGGCAGCCGTCACCCTGCTGGGTCACCTGATCAGGAAGCAGCCTCCTTGGGTTCATCACGTCAGCCAATCGCCTGTTCTGCCATCGCTGCTGCGCTGCCTGAAGGTACTGACCCAAAAGATCTAACGGTTCTGTGCTGAGCACGGCCAGAACCCTGCAGATACCGTCAGGTTCTTCTCTGAGAATCCCAGACAGGAAACATCAAGTACAGACTGATATAACCTAAAAAACCTGACTTCAACATGTTGACCCAGAACCAGAAACTTAGAACTAATCTACTTAGAAACCAACAGGTTCTACTTAGAAACCAG